GGTGAGGACTGCCAGGTGGGGACTGCCAGGTGGGGCTGCCAGGTGGGGAGTGCCAGGTGGGGACTGGCCAGGTGGGCGCTGCCAGGTGAGGACTGGCCAGGTGAGGACCGCCAGGTGGGGGCTGGCCAGGTGAGGACTGCCAGGTGGGGGCTGCCAGGTGAGGACTGCCAGGTGGGGGCTGCCAGGTGGGGACTGCCAGGTGGGGGCTGCCAGGTGGGGGCTGGCCAGGTGAGGACTGCCAGGTGGGGCTGCCAGGTGGGAGCTGCCAGGTGGGGGCTGCCAGGTGGGAGCTGCCAGGTGGGGACTGCCAGGTGGGGGCTGGCCAGGTGAGGGCTGCCAGGTGAGGACTACCAGGTGGGGGCTGCCAGGTAGGGGGTGCCTTCTGCAGAGGGCCACTGAGTCTACCAGCCAGGCTGGGGGTCTCCTTGACAGACATGGGATGGGCTTCTACTGGTGCTGTGGGCTCTTGCATGGCTATCTCTTTGCAGGGCAACTGCCCCCCTCCTGGGGACCCCATGATGGGGACCTCCAGCCCCATGATGCACACCTGTGGCCTCACCCCTCTCCAGCCTGCTGCAGGCTGACTCATTGGCAGGGATTCCCAGGAACAACCCTGGAGAACCCCATGAGATATGGTAGTAAACCACCCAGATGTTGGCCTAAGTCCAGGCACAGTGGCCGGGATTCCCAGGAACAACCCTGGAGAACCCCATGAGATGTGGCAGTAACCCACCCAGATGTTGGCCTAAGTCCAGGCACAGTGGCCGGGATTCCCAGGAACAACCCTGGAGAACCCCATGAGATGTGGCAGTAACCCACCCAGATGTTGGCCTAAGTCCAGGACGTGGGTCCCTCCACGTCCCAGATTTTGTTATTCCGTGCCCCAGCCACCCACGTGGGACCAAGTGTCAGGAAGGGCAGCTGTGCTCTGGGCAGACCATCCACGCTCATCATCCCGAATCCCCACAGCCACGTCAGGACAGGGACTGATCACGATCCCGCTTCCCAGACAGGGCACATGAGGCTCCCTAGCCACCCTGTCCACACTGTGTTTATCCTCTCTGGGTGAGCTGGAAAGGGAGCAGGAGTCAGGCTGGGAATAGCACACCGTGATAAGGAAGCTGGCAACACCTTAAGCAGTCATTGACAGCCCGGCCCCAGGAAGGTTTGTTTGTTGTCTTTTTTGTTACTAAGGCTGGTCTCTCCAGGCAAGCTAAACAGTGGGTCAGAACTTTATTCTGTGTCCCACAGGTAAACAGCCCTGAGGATGTTCACACTCCCACCCCAGGAACCTGCGGCTATGTTAGCCCACACAGCAGAGGGGACTGCGCAGATGGGACCTGGAGAAGGGGAGAGGGGTGGGAGTTACCCAGGTGGGTCTTCAATGTAATCACAGGGCTTTACAAGAGGGAGGCAGGAGTGTCAGAGGAGGCAAAGACAGTGAGTGAGGTGGAGACAGAGCAGACTGGAGTGACTCATTTGACAATGGGAAAAGAGGCCACAAGTCATCGAAGTTTCAGAGCCACTATAACAATACCACAGAATGGGTCGTTTACAATGAACAGAAATTTATCTGGCTCATGGTTCTGGAGGATGGGAAGTCCATTGATCAAGGGTTCAGCTTCTGCAAGAGCCTTCCTGATGCATCATCACATGACTGAAGGGTAGAGAGAAGGGGAGAGGGAGGGAAGGGGGACAAACTCATCCTTCGATCAGGAACCTGCTCCTAGGATGACCAACCCTTAGTTCATTTGTGTTGCTATCAAGAATAACTGGGGGTAATTTATAAAGAAAAGAGGTTTATCTGGCTGATGGTTCTGGGGGCTGTACAAGAAGCATGGTGCCAACATCTGCATCTGGTGAGGGCTTCAAGCTGCCTCCACCCATGGCAGACAGGAAAGAGGAGCCAGCCTGTGCAGAAATCACAGGGTGAGAGAGAACGTGAGAAACAGAGGGGAGAGACGCCAGTGTCTTTCTAACAACCAGCTCCTGGGGGAATTTTCGCAGGAACCAAGAGAGCAATAGCTCATTCATTGCTTCAAGAACAGCATCAAGCCATTCACGAGGCTTTCACTCCCATGGCCCAATGCCTCCCGTTAGACCCCCACCTCTGACATTGGGATCAAATATTCTCTTGAGGTTTGGAGGATAGCACCCTATTTGTGGTAATGCCATTAATCCATTAATCATTCATGAGGGCAGAGCCCCCGTGACCTAATTGCTTCTTAAAGATCCCACCTCTCACCACTTTGCATTGGGGCTTATGGTTCCAACACATGGACTCTGGGGGACACATTCAAACCACAACAGTAGTTTGCAGGCTAGTAATTATTTTCTTTTTTTTTTTTAAGTGTATTAGTTTCTTAAATAATGTAGAAAGCAAAAATGGGAGTTACATGTCATTGTTACAATAATATTAGGTTTCACATTTGCCTGTGTGTTTGCCTTTAATGAGACATTTATTTCTTCATACAGCCTTCAGTCACTGTCCACTGTTCTTCCATTTAAACCTACAGGACTCCCTTAAGCATTTCGTGCAGGGCAGATCTAACGGCACTGAATTTCCTCAGCTTTTCTTTATTGGAAATGTCTTAATTTCTCCCATACTTTATAAGGATAGTTTTTCTGGAGATGAGATTCTTGGTTGACAGGGGATTTTTTTTTCTTTTTTTGAGCACTTTGATTATATCAGCCCACTGTCTTCTGACTTCCAAACTATCTAATGAGAGAAATCTGCAGATAATTCTACTGAGGATTATTTGTATGTATTGAATGGCTTCTCTCTTGCTACTTTCAGGATT